GGTGGGGGTGTAATGGTCGACTCGCGTTTCTTGTATAGAGGATGTGCCAGAGTAGCGGTGTTTCCTGCCTGATAAGCACGCCTCTTTACCAGGATGTATGGGGCCGGCTCCCCCGTATTAAAAACGCCGTCGTGAGGGAAGGGGACCCCGCTGTTCGTTTGGGGGGGGGGGGGGGAGGAAATAAAGCCTCACTGATTAACATCTTACGCCCTGATTTTTTGGGAGCCTTCTTTGGCCCATGCACTCATGGTGGAAAACACGAAGCCTCGGTTCCGAAATTAATTACATTAATTTAAAATTCTTCCTGTAACGAGCTGGTTCAAAACAAACAGTGGTAGCTGGAAGCTGTATGTGTACGTGACTCATTAAAATATATACATTTTACATGTTGCCGTTGATTTCTATATTAACCCTTCAAAACCTGGACAGACTCATCGGTTTCCCAGATGACTGCCATCTTCTGCAGCTCTCCCCACACACGCTGGGAGCTGAAGGGCGGCTGGGGGTGGGCTGGCGTCCCGGGACGAGTGTCACTGGGGCAGCGGGATGGGGGCAGCGTCTTCGGCGGGGTCGACCTCCCCGGGTGCACCGTGTGGGCCCACCGTGCGACACGCACCACTTTCCCCATGGCCTGGGGGTAGGACAACATAACACAGTTTACCACACCACTGAAAGGTCAGGATACTGGTCTCAATCATCCCAGTTAGAACTGTTACACTGAAATAGAGGTGAAGACCTAGACAGGCGTAATGTCCTTGGTTTATATTTAAAATACAGCAGGGATGCTTGATTACATTTTCATATTTAACACAATACTTATGTTAAAGAAGATTTTTTTTCAGCATGGTATAAAACTTGCTGGTAGTGTTTAAATTGATTTTATCAATATGAAAGCTTCTGATTCAGTGAAAATTTCAGGTGCAATTTTCAGAAAAGACGTTCAATGCCCAAGTTTGGTCCATTGAAAACAGTTTAACTTCTGTGATGCTACACTGGTGTCTGTTTTGTGGGTTAATGGAGACCAGTTAAGCCCCCATTCACTTCTCCAGGTCCAGGTTATGTATTGTTGTGTTCTGTCCTTGGATACAAGGGGTTCCTGAATGGCAGCCTTGCCATAGGTTCCAACTTCGGGAAAGTGTTTTGTTGAGACTTGGTCAAAGAGGTGGTATGAAAGATCTGCAGTAATTCTGCCAGCTGTTAGGGATTCTCCTAATAAGCATTGTGCTTCAATGACCTTCATTCTGCATTCCTCTTTTCTGATGCCATATCCACAGTTATATATATCCACAGAGGTTCCGATGCAGTTTGTCCCTTTTTGGCAGGACCAGTGAAAAATTTTTAGACAGTTCCCTTTGAAATGTGAAATAATTTTGCTGCTTTTATGGTAGTTTCGTGTTTCTATTACTTTTTCCCACTCTGAGCAATCTATATCTCTGGGTGTAAGTACACAGTGATCAGCCATTACATTTAAACCATTGACAGGTGAAGTGAACAAAATTGATTATCTCATTACAATGGCAGCTTTGAAGGCCAAGTGAACAGTCCATTCTTGAAGTTGATGTGTTGGAAACAGGAAAAATGGGTAAGAGTAAGGATCTGACCCAAACTGTGAAGGCTAGACGACTGGGTCAGAGCATCTCCAAACCAGCTGGTCCTGTGGGGTGTTCCCAGTATGCAGTGGTCAGTACCTACCAAATGGAGTCCAAGGAAGGCTAACCAGTGAATCAGCAAAGGGGTCATAGGTGCCCAAGGCTCGTTGATGTGGGTGAGGAGCGACGGCTGGCTCATCTGCTCTGATTCTACAGGGGAGCAGCTGTAGCACAAATTGCCGAGACAGTTAATGCTGACTTTGATAGAAAGGTGTCAGAACACACAGGGCATGGCAGCCTGGTGCGTATGGGGCTGCAGAGCCACAGACCGGTCAGAGTGTCCATGCTTACCTCTGTCCAGCACCGTAAGTGTTTACAATGGGCACATGAGTGTCAGAACTGGGCCATGGAGCAATGGAAGAAGATGGCTGGATCTGATGCGTCGCGTAATCTGTTACATCATGCGGACGGCCGGGTGCGTGTGCGTCAATTACCTGGGGAAGAGATGGGACCAGGATGCATTATGGGAAGAAGGTAAGCCGGGGGAGGCAGTGTGACGCTCTGGCCGATGTTCTGCTGGGAAACCTTGGGTCCTGGCATTCATGTGGATGTTACTCTGACACATACGACCCACCTTAACACTGCTGCAGACCAAGTACACCCCTTCATGGCAATGGGATTCCCCGATGGCAGTGGCCTCTTTCAGCAGGATAATGCTCCCTGCCACACTGCAAAAGTTGCTCAGGAATGGTTTGAGGATCATGGAAAAGACTTCAAGGTGTTAACTTGGCCTCCAGATTCCCCGAGATCTCAGTCCAATCAGCATCTGTGGGATTTGCTGGACAAACAAGTCAGATCCATGGAGGCCTCACCTCACAACTTACAGGACATAAAAGGTCTGCTGCTAATGTCTTGGTGCCAGATACCACAGGACACCTTCAGAGGTCTTGTGTCCATTCCTCAACAGGTCAGAACTGTTTTGGTAGCACAAGTGGGACCTACACCGTATCACGTACAGTAGGTGGTTTTAACGTCAGGGCTGATTGGTGTACAAAGAGTATATATTTATAGTGCACACATTTATGGTAATTTATGATCGTGTTTTATGTTTTATATTATATTTCTTTTATTCTTACATTTCTGGTTAATACAATCTTAGAGTTAGGCAGCCAAGCATTTAACTACACTTTGTACTGAGTATAACTGTGGATATGGCAAATAAAACTTAAATATGTGACTCGATAATGTAGCCATACAAAAGATTGCTTGTAATTCCATCTATTAGCTGAGATATTTTGCATTGCAGCCAAGCCATGTTAATATGTTTTGTTTTCTGAATTATCTCCAGCTCCAGGTCACACGAGAGCTTCATGTTGTCAGGTCATCTGCTATGTTTCCTGTTTCCTCCTGCTAAAACCGTCATGTCCATTGAGAAACAAACAAGCTCACAACGTCACCCTGCAAACCCTGTGTAGCCCCTGACATCTCTGCTGCAATTCGCTGTATAGGCATTGTGTCAGCACAGCTGGATTGAATATTAAGGGTCCTGGGGGAGTTTCTGTTTGTGTCCCTTTAAATAACATATACTGGAGAAAGGGGGACTTCAAGAATTACAGGTGATGACTGGCCAAAGCATTCAGAGTTTAAAGTTCGCATAACACACAATAGACGCTCCTCCTTTGTAAACGGAGATATCAGTGATGTTTCCACTAAGTTTGCAAGGCAAACTTTGCAGATGTCACTGATAATTAACAGCGTTATGGGCTTATGGTGTTGCGAACATTTCAGTGCTGGTATGAACCCCATGATTTTCTTTCACGTCTCCATCGGGATTATGGGCAGTCAGACAGAGATCGTGGCGTAATCCCATGTTACTCTATCAGGCTTGTTCCTTTTCCTTGCTCAGACAAGGATACAACCCTGATCCAGGGCCATATTGGACACCCCACTGTGCACTTTGAATGCTGTACAGTCATTTGCAAAAGGCCTAATAAATAAAACTCACACATTATAATTATCAATCCAAAACAATGGAATAATCCATAATCAATGCGAATCTCAGCTAAAATATCACTTGAAATGACAATACAAAGTACAGACTTACAATGTGGCAACTAAATCTTAAATGTTAAATTCTTTCTTTTTTTTTTAAGTAGCATTGAAAATGTGTGCCTAAGATTAACGAAACTAGCCTTGTACAAACATGCTTTAATTAAACATGCTTACGCTACCTTCAGCCACATATTTTATCATCTAGTTACGGTAAAAAAAATAACCCTCTGTTATGTTTAGTATGCATGTTAAATTATTATTTAAAAAATATGAACATAGATAGGTTTAATGTAGCACTAAGATTTTTGGGAACACAATTTTAGTCAGTTTTACAATATGGAATCGGGTTTGCAGTAATTGCTGCTAGAAAATTAATCAGTTTATAATTTGTACCTGGCTAACAATGCTGGCCATTTAAGCAAAAAAAAATTAGGCA